TCCGGGGCAGGCGGGAATCGAACTCATGTGGAAGCGGCTTTAGATTCTCAGTGCTGTGCTTTAACCCGCTGCGCCACCAGGGAGGGCCCAATTTATTCTTTTAACTACTTCTAAGTCAACAGTTGGATATGTGACTATGGAGCACAGAGTACTGGTCAGGGTTGGAGATACAAATTTAAATTTCTGAAGGGCAAGCTGCTGCTCTTCCTCATCTGAGCTGTGGTTGGCACCTGGAGAAAAGAACATAGGCAGTGGTGGTGCTGTGCTGACTGGTCTTTCATTACTTGATTTAGTTCATGCAGCCAATATCCAACATACTTTTCATTAGGGTCTATTAAGGTAGGTACCTCTCTCTTCTACTTCTCAATATGTAGTCCCCAGTCATGCTAGGGATGACTTTTATATACAGGACATTTGGTTAGGTTTTGGGAGTTCAATGATGAATAAAACAGCTTTGAATGGAGGAGGAGAGTATGAAGAACCTATGGAGATAAAGCTAGAGTAGACTAAATGCATAAATACATGCAGATTAGTTCATTCTAGCTTTCTTCAGCACCCTCCACCCCAAATACTTGAGGGATGGGGCATAATAGAGTCAAAAGAGCAAAAACATGCCTAAGCAATTGCAAGATGACTTTGAGGCTCCCCAAGAGTCCTATTCAAGAAAAGAATTACTCAAAATCTTGAATATTTTACTATATTTGCATTAGTTTTATTTGGCAACTATAATTTTTACCAAATGAAATGAATTTTATTATTTGACTATCATGTGGCATGATGAGGTTTTCCAGTTTTATTACCTCAGTGCTGACTAATTTACTAGTGAAATAAGGGAGTTGGCTTGAAATGTTGCAGCTTGCATAACAGAGGGTGATGGACTGTGTGAAGTGCTTAGGCTTGTTTCCACCAGTTGAACTATATCATGCTGAAGTTCCACATATCAGTGTGAATTTGAATTTCTCTGCTGGTCATTGCTTTACCATTGAGATATATTTTCTTGTCATAAAAAGGGATCTGGTGATAAGTCATAGGCAGAATTATTTTTTATGGTTCATCTTAGATTTTTTTTTCTTACAATGTGTGACTATAGCTTTTTTACCTTTCATTGAGAGAGATGACCTGAATAACTAGGTCCATTACACTTAGTAACAGGAACCCTCTACAAGTATAAATGAAAAGATGTATTGTCATTATAGCTTTCCTAAAATTAATGGAGTTGAAATGATTAGTATTTCTTTATTTTTTTAAAAGATTTATTTATTTATTCATACAGAACTGGGGTACAGGCCTGAGATGTGGAGGGTGAGAGGATTCACCAGAGACAGAGTGGGGAGCAGAACAGGCAGATAGACGAAGTACACTGCTGAGGGGAGCAGTGGGAGGGTCAAGAGAGGTCTGCCGCACCATGTGGTCACCTCCGGGGTAGGTGGGAATTGAACTCATGTGGAAGTGGCTTAAGCTTCTTAGTGCAGTGCTTTAACCCTCTGTGCCACCAGGGAGGGTCTGATTAGTATTTCTTAACACTACAATTGCAATAAACTACTTATGAATATCAGAAACCCATATATATGATATATACTAGAATTATATCTTTTAGAGAGCCTGTTGACAGATGAGGCTTTGTTGATTTTTAAGAGTCTTTCTAACTTAGATAAGCAGATTTAAGATGTAGATATCATCTTAGATAACTTAAAAAAAATCCAAGTTGTTTTTAAATTTTTTACTAACATTTGCAAATTTTAAAGCTATTTTACAGTACTAATATGAATATTTGGAAATGGTTTATTGTAGAAAACCATGTCTAGCTCAGTGATACTGGGCATTAAGTAGAATTTTTAAAGTTCTACTTGTAGTTTCTTTTACTTTTTGAATATTTTGTAAATTTATATCTGTACATACACATATAGACAAAGTCGTGGTTATGGAAGCTTTGTAATATCAGAATGATAGCTTGTATACTTTTACTTAATATTGTAAATATTTGAATATGTTTAATTTAAATATAGGTAACACTTATATTTTAATTTCATATTTGGCTGC